CATGAGACTTGATCAAACGGGATTGCAGAACATGTGTTACTTGTCTTGGAAAAGGACCCAGTGAGAACAATCCTCAAGCTCATCCTTGATAGTGTCGGGCAAGGACTTCATATCTTTGATGTGGACTGTCATCCACCGTGAGAAGTTCACATGATCCAAGGCAAAGAAGTATTGGAGTTCCTCCAATACTTCAACATACAAAGGACAATTATTCTCTCTGTGAGCCCTGATGAAGATAAGAATGAGGGTTTCATATCTCATGATCAGGTCCCAGTCCATGAAAGTAGGACTTCTCTTCTGCATGATGTTTCTCCAAGCCGTGAAAAACTCTTCATCTTTAGGGCCCTCGCTGAGCATGAAAGCCTCACTCTGAAGTTCGTGCAGAGTCAAGAGAGTGATTTGGTCGGCGCGATTAGTTTGAGTTAGGTGTGCTCCTTCAGATACGAATCGGCCGTGCCAGATGACGCTACCTCTGCCTCTGTGAGGGCTGTAGTCCAGCCAGAACTTTCTAAGACATCCCCAAGTGTATTCCATATTGCTATTTCTGTGTGCAGACCACCTAGCATAACCACATGCACTCTCTCACCATGGGTGTCTGGCCATTTCCACTGTACAAACTTTGCCAGGGCAAACAGAGGCTGGTCAAATGTAGAGACTGGGATTTGTCCTGGGTTCAGAAATTCACCAGCTTGCCTCTCGACATCCATGCCATGCTTAATCATAGCTGGAGTTGCAGATTCCTCATAAAACAGAAGAAGGAGTGCACATGCATTGTGCTGGAGGGTCTTCTACCGGAAGTTGATTAGAGGCATGATAGGCAGCCCATGAAATAGTATCTCCACTGATGAGTTCTTTTGTCTCTAGAAGTGTCTCAGCTGTGTTCCCCTGCTCTGGTCGCATCTATGCACCTCTCGACTGGAAACACTTCATTTTCTGGCAGCAACAGCAGTTTTCTTCGATGCTATGGCTGTTTCAAAGGCGTAGCTATCAGGAAGAGTAAGCTTTTCATTTCCAGAAGGTGGTATCACAACAGGTGCTCTGCTCTCACCAGGTTTGGCCTTGGTAGGCAACTGTAAAAGGCTGATTCCAGTCCCATGATATGATGTTTTAGGAGTGGTTGAGCTCGGGTTGTCGAGGGCGCCAACAGTGAACACACCTTTACGGAGGCTAGCCGGAGACACCACTCCATCTTCTACAAAGCGTTCACAGGTAGAAGTTGCGATCCATCCCCAATCTCCATAATCCCGTCATAAGAAATGCTTCTGGTCAGTGCATGCATACTGATGCCAATATAGATATAGGTTCAGGTTCAAGTTCAAGTTCAAAAAAGGTCTTATTCATGACTTGTTAAAAAGTCCAAAGACTAAAAACGCAAGTTTACATCAAACATACAATCATATAAAAAGCATTCAAAAATATGTACATATATATAAAGATAACATAACAAATGAGAACAAATATATAACAATGAATAAATGTTTAAATCAAAACATTAAAGTAGTAACAAAAAAACAAAACAAAAAAAAAGATTTAAAAAAATACAAGATATGAAATATTGCTGGCAAAAATGAATAAATGTTTATATCAAAACGAATACAAATGTATACAGATACGTGAATTCAATTAACTGTAACATTGGACAAATTGTGATAAAATGCAATACAAATTCCATTCAGAAGGTATAGTGAGTATTAAAAGTATTAACAAGTATTAAAATTGGAGTCTTGGCGGTGTGCTAGTCACAAGTGTGATATGAGTATAGTATAATGTATAAACATATTGCACATGAAAACAATGGAATTCCTTATTATTGGTCACAGTAAGAATAGCAGATAATTAAAGAATGTTGTACTGTAAAACATCATCAGAAGAGAAAGAGGTGGAGAGGAGGAGAGAGAGACAGAAAGTGAGAGAGAGAGAAACAGAGAGGAGGAAGAAGAGAGGAAGGGAGAAAGAGGAAGAGGCAGAGTAAGCAAATAGAGAGAGAGAGAGAGACAGACAGACACAGAGCTGAGAGAGAGTGAATGGGGGTGAAATAAAAATAGAGAGGAAAGACCAGAAGTGAAGAAGAGAAAAGGAAATTTGAAAAGTAGCAATTTCGAATAGAGGAAAGGGATGAGGGAGTGAGAAGAAGAATAATAGTACATGCAATATCAAAATAGGAATGAATGGAAGATCCCGCTATGCCAATCATCATGACAGTTAATATTGCACATAATTATATTGCTGAAATACATGACATATAACATACCGATAATTTAATAGGGGAAATAAGTTTCAAAAGTATAGCATTAACAAAATGAGAAAGCTGACACCCCCCCTTAACCATGCAGAACTCAATATTCTCAATTCTTTTAAAAACGTTAGGTATAGATCCATGTCTACATTATACAAGAATAATGAGCAGCAGCGATTCTAGGGGGTGGGCTCGGGCCGGGGAGGGGGCTCAATTAAGCTCCCATTTACAAAAAATGTTTTTCAAGTCCCCCCCCCCCCCGAAATTATTGATTGAAAATTAATTTTAGGGTGGCACGTGTATAACATAAATGCAAGAAACGCTGGCAAGCCCCCCCCCCCCCGCAACCTAAACAAATATGTTATACAGAACCGCGTGCCTGGATGCATGTCCGATAGACCGCTTGCACAGAGCTAGTCAAGGGAAATAACATAGCAATTATCTAATTCCTGGATATCCTGCCAGAAGGCATACGTGATATGGGTTCATATTTACTGGGCTATTTAGGGCGTGTTCATGCTTCACTTTTTCTGGCCAGAATCAGGCGTCTGTTACGCGTTTAGTTTAAAAGACGGTTGCGTTCATGCTTACTTTTGTAGAACCACCGAAAAACGGCGATCACGATCGCCGATCGTAAACTCACAAAAAGATGCGTTTACAATTTGTAAACGCGTTTAAATGGGGTCAACGCACTGACCTCTAGTGGGTCTACGTAGCATGCACAGTGAAGGTTTGCGAATCCAGCTGGAAGACCAATTAAGGCCACACAAGGAGAATTGCCTGGATGAGCCAGAGAAGTAAGCATGAACTGCGTGGAACTGCGATCACGATGAGCGTTTACGATGAGCGTTTCAGATCGCTCATTCTACCTTCAAAATCAAACATGAACGCGCCCTTAGATAAAGGCTTTTTATCAGCTATAGGCGGGTCCAGGATTCTCTTGCCGGGGGGAGGGGGGGGGTGGGGTGTCAATCTAAACAAATCTTAACAATACAAGTACAGCTAATTCAGTTTAGTTTTTTCTTTCTTTTTCTTTTTTTTAGTTATATGTGCATGTTCTCATCCAAATCTTTCTGAAAAGGAAACCAAGTTTAAGTGGTTTGCATGCGGGGAGGAGGTGTGATTATGCCACTTGACATCGTTCCCCCCCTTGATAATTATGCTATAAAACGGTTTACATTACTATTTACACAGTTGAAAGATTTTGTTTGTGCTCACCTCACGGAGGTACTGAAACTACTTTGAATTGCAAGGGTTCCAGCATTCGAAGGTATTTATAAGCCGATCATATCTTGTAATAGTATTAATATTCTCCTCCACAAATTCCAGTGGGAAAGTTGCTCTCATGTGCCTGAAAGGGGGGGGGGGGGGGCGGGGGATAATAACCCGAAAAAAAGATTAATATTGTTCGGATATGATTCACCAGCTATATAAGTCTTTAAAGGCACACTGTCCTACTTGTAGCTACTTGCTCCCTCTAAAACTTCCCCAATCGGTGCCTGTTGGTCCCCCATTATGTTTTCTCATGTTAAATGAGAGCTGAGTTAATGAGATAGCCACCTGTCACAGTGACCTCGTTGGCTCACTTGAGGTGCGTTTAATCGACACTTTTTCACCCTAGAATCACGGTTTTCAAAGACGTTTAGTTCAAAACGCAATTCGTTCAAGCGATGTTTGCGTCGGTCGTAAAAATAAACGTGTTTAAAAACACAAACATGAAACGCTGTAAAAGATGCGTTTTGTATCATGATTCTGCAGACTCGCGGTCGCTAAAATTCGATTGAACGAACGTAGTCTTAATCATGATTCTATCGTGGCCTGTTCCGGTTTGGGCAAAAACCGCGCGCCTGCAATTGCGTTCACTATACCATGCTCTTTATCGTGGCCTGTTCCGTTATGTTATTCCTTGTTTTCCTTCCATCAATTTCTCTTTCAGTCTTTCCTTTTGTTATTCTTTGTTTCTTCCTTCTATTCTTATGTTATTCTTTGTTTTTTCCTTCTATCACCTTCTCTTATGTTATTCTTTGTTTTTATAATTCTATCACTTTCTTTTGTTTTTGTTTCTTCCTTCTATTCTTATGTTATTTTTTGTTTTTTCCTTCTATCACCTTTTCTTATGTAATTCTTTGTTTTAAGCATTCTATCGACTTTCTCTTTCTGTCTTTACTTATGTTATTCTTTGTTTCTTCCCTCTATTCTTATGTTATTCTTTGTTTTTTCCTTCTATCACCTTCTCTTATGTTATTCCTTGTTTTTATAATTCTATCACTTTCTCTTTTGTTATTTTTTGTTTCTTCCTTCTATTCTTATGTTATTCTTTGTTTTTTCCTTCTATCGCCTTTTCTTATGTAATTCTTTGTTTTAAGCATTCCATCACTTTCTCTTATGTTATTCTTTGTTTTAATCATTCTATCACTTTCTCTTATGTTATTCTTTGTTTTAATCATTCTATCACTTTCTCTTTCTGTCTTTCCTGATGTTATTCTTTGTTTCTTCCTTCTATCACCTTTTCATTCTTTGTTTTATTATTGCGATCTATGCTCAAAACAGCAGTCGACAGTCGGCCGTAAACAATTCCAAAAAAGCGCGCGCCAAGGTTGACCTATACTTCCTGGGTCAACTGCGCAGTGTGATGCGCAGTGGCTGGGCTCGAAATGAGCTAGAATCAGCGTTGATGAAAAATCGCTTGAACGCAAACCGCAGTGACCTTGTTTTTTGTAACGGCGTTTTGATTTGTGATTCATGTTTGTGACTCTAGCTTCGAAAATCGATTAAACGCACCCTTGGTTGTATATAAGGCGTGTATAAAACCGTACTTCTCATAGATCACGTAGATTGTGTAGAAGCTTACTTGTTATTAATATTCCACACATCCATTCGTCTCTCTACTATTTGGTGAGTTTAACCACATGATTTATATTTCAATTGTATGCATGTTGATATTATAGGCTAAACATGTCTCGAATTAAAAGCTCAATGGATTATAAAATGTATATAAATTATGTTGTTTGGTGCGACTCCATGAAAGGCCTACTGAGGTAAGTATATATACTGACTACTGATTTTTTGTTTGTAAAGGGAAACCGGCGGACAACACATGATAATAGAATCATAATATTGATTATAGGCCTACTTGCCGGAACGTCAAATTGGCTGAATTAATTTTGATGTAGTGTCAGACAACTTAGCCATTTTAAGCGGATTACCAAAGTCAAATATCATGTTTAGTCTATGTGTTTTTGAGTTGCCTCCTACTACCACACAAACTAAGCACACCTTGTTCATTCGAAAGATTTGATCATAATACAAAATATTTTAGAGGGTTAGGGTTAGGGTTAGGGTTAGGGTTAGGGTTAGGGTTAGCAAACACCCCTAAATCGGAGGGGGCGAAAAATAGTATTTTGTGAATAATAATATGAAACTTAAATTAAATTTCCGATGAGTTGGCTCGACATGTACCTATATTAAGAAGTCAGCAGCCGAAGGTACAACAATACGAAAAAAAAGTCTATACAATTTTCTTTCAGAGAGAAAGAAAGATTATTTCTGAAATAAAATGAAAGGAGCTATGTGACTTTCAAGGAGGAAATACCAATTTCTATCGCTCGTGACGACTATTTTGAATTTCCTAAATTAAAAAAAAAAAATCAAGATCTTCCTGGGGCTCCGCCCCCTGACTCCCGATAAAGGCTCTTTAATGCACCCCATCTGTAAAGATAAACGTGGTTCTCAAGACTGTATACAATTGGAAAGAGGGTATTATATACAGTTAAAATCTAGAACAAACACTTCCATGGACTTTTATTATTTACACATTTACAATGTATTGCTAGAATCCCTATTCAGTGAAGGATTAGTCCTTCTTATGCAGATTCTTCTAACCATTCTTGACCAGAAGTGCGTTTCAAACTCAATAGTCTTGTTGAGACTGAATTTGCTAGTCGACGTAAGTTAATCCCTGCAGCAGTTACCCACCAGGGGCCCTAATTTTTAAGGCATACCCCATGGACCCCATTAGTAAAGATAGAAGTGATTCCCACGACAACCCGCTGTTGATTATTGTCCCTAGGAGAGAGTCTGATTTTCCATCGCTCAAGACGGTCATCTTAAAGGTTATGAATAATTGCTAAAACTTGAGAGCGTCATTCGGCTCCGACCCAGAACCCCGGCAGGGACTCTGCCAGCCCCCACCCCCTCCCCAATCTCTGCCATGTCGTACGGATCCATTAGAAAGAAAAAATAAGCCCCATTTAATGATTAAATAAATAATGATATTAATAAATTAAAAAACAGGGTGCCATCGTTTTCAGCATTGAATTCCACATCGGAATCCGTTTTTTTATTTTTAAGTGAACACCATTTCCCTATTGGAGCTGTCTGTGAATAGGCCTACCTAACTATTATACAGTCAAACCTGCCTTTAATAGTGGCCACCTCTCTCTACCCTGTCCATAGTAGTCGAGCGTTTTCTCTCCATCGAGGGTACGTTTATGCTCAACTTTTTCTGGCCAGAATGAGGCACTTGTTACGCGTTTAGTTCAAAACACTGTTGCGTCCTTTCTCATTTTGGTAGAATCACCGAAAAACGGCGATCGTAAACTCACAAAAAGGTGCGTTTTGGATCGGCGATTCTCTTTTTTTTTTTTTTTTAGCAGATGTTTCTGCATTTATTGATAAATCAAATATAAAACATTCAAATAACAATAATAGTATATAATATAATTGATTTACATCAAGAGTGACAACTTAATACACACAAAATAAAATAAAAAAAAAATGCATAATTGAAAGCTTGAAAGTATGGAGGTAAGTAAAAATAATCAAGATAAATGCAGAGGCCAACTATCATAAGCAAGGAAGCTTGAGTCGATAGCAGCCGGGAAGGGGGGGGGGGGGGTACATGGCGCTGTTTTAGGACAATTTTGGGGTTTGTTAAGTGGAAATCGGATGAGTGTTGTGTGGGATAAGAATGTATATCACTATTGTAAACAAAAATATTTCGAAATGCCAAAGGTATAGTATTTATCCAACATTTATACATAAAGATTGCAGTTTGAAAACTGCGAATGTCAGCGATTTTTAATGTTTTTAGTTTACAAAATATTGGATCAGTATGGGCTAAATAATGCGAATGTGTGCAAAGACGAAGTACTTTCTTTTGGAGACGATATACTAACATAATTTTCATCTTACTACTATTACCCCAAACTATGTTACAATAAGATATGTATGACAAAATGAAGGAATTGTTAAGCATAAATAGTGACTTTTGTGATAGATAATATTTTAATTTATATAAAATGCCTATGCTTCTCGAGACTAGCATGCAAATGTTGTTAATATGACTATTCCAAGTTAGGTTTGAATCAATCATTACACCTAAGAATTTTGTAACTTCTTTTTCAATTATGGGCATGTTATCTATAAAAGTATCATAATGAAGTACATGTTTAGAGTGTATGTTTTTGAAATAAATACAATTAGTCTTATTAATATTTAAAGAGAGTTTATTGGATTTGAACCAAGATGATAATTTATTTAGTTCTAAATTGAGGGTTGTAATAAGAATGTTTAAGTCTTTATGCGAATAAAATACGTTGGTTACGTCTGCGAACAGAACATATGTTAGGAGTGGTGATGCATTAACAATATCATTCATATATACTAAAAACAGTAGGGGACCTAATGTGGAACCTTGTGGTACTCCGCATTCTATGGTGGAAATATTAGATGTTGTAGATCTAAACATAACATATTGATGTCTATTACGCAAATAGTCTTCAAACCAAGAAAGTTCAATCCCTCTAACTCCATATGCTTTTAATTTATGTATTAATATACGATGGTCCATGGTATCGAATGCTTTTGATAAGTCCATAAAAACACCTACAGTGTGTTCTTTTTTAGAAAGGAAATCAGTTATTTTGTCACATAATTGTAGAATAGCATAATCAGTAGAGTGGTTCTTTCTAAATCCATATTGATTTGGAATTAAAAAGTTATTGATATCTAAGAAAGAATATAATCGTTTATATACTATTTTCTCTAATATCTTTGAAATGCTTGGTAGTAAAGAGATTGGTCGGTAGTTTGAAACTTTAGAGTGATCATCCTTTTTATATATCGGAATTATTTTTGCAACTTTTAGTGGGTCGGGAAAAACCCCTTGGGAAAGAGATAATTAAAGATATGTGATAACGGGGAAGCTATGAAGTGAATTATTTGTTTTAATAAAGATACACTTAGTTCATTGTAGCCACTAGATTTACTGCTCTTTAAAGAACGAACAATTTCTAAAATCTCTTGAATATTTGTTGAATTAAAAAAATAAGGATTGATTAACGTTATTATTTAAGTATTTGAAAAAAAATCATTCTTTTCATTGATTATTTTGGAAGCTAAATCCGGTCCAATATTAGTAAAGTATTTATCGAATGCCTCAGCAACATAATTTGGGTCTATGTGATGCCCATTATCATTAAATTCAATATTATTTGGAGTATCCTTTTTCTTCCCCAAAATGTCATTAACTGTTTGCCATAATGATCGATTATTATCTTTATTATTTTCAATTTTATTACCATAGTATAATTTGCGTGATAATTGAAGTCAATTTATTACGGTACTTTTTATATTTATTTTGATTTTCATTTGTAGGTGATCGAAGTGAGATTTTATATAAATGAATTCGGGTAGATATTGATTTAAGTATACCTTAAGTAATCCATGGTCGTTTATTTTTCTTTTTATTTGACTTAATTCTTGAGAGGGGCACATTTTTATTATAATGACAAAGAAGTTTGTTTATAAATTTGTCATATGAACTGTTCACATCTCTTTCAAAATAAATATCATACCAATCTTCTTGACTCAAGTCTATCTTTAAGGATTCAATATTACGCTTGGTTTCTTTACGTCGTGTTGTATGTTCTTTATTGGGAATTTGTAGGTGTTTATCATTAGGACCTATCGTAAATATTGATAAATGGTCTGAAATATCATAGTTTATTATTCCATTCTGTTTATTATCTAATACGTTTGAGAAAATATTATCAATCATAGTATGTGTTAAGTTTGTAATCCTAGTTGGTTTATTAATGAGAGGTTTAAAAAAAAATGAAGATAATAAATTAGTGAAGTGTTGGCCAAGAACGGTAAAAGGTAAGGATATATCGATATTTAAGTCTCCCATAATATATACATCTTTATTTTCTCTAGAAATAAATTCAAGGCATGATTCTAATTCATCAAAAAATGTGTCGGCTACATTGTTAGGTGGTCTGTACATTACCCCAACGATTCTATTCTTATGTTTATCATCAATAATTTCTAAAAATAATTTTCCTATTCCTTCCAGTTGAATATCATGTCTTATTTTAAATTGTACATCATTACGAGTATAACAAGCGACTCCTCCTCCCTTTCCGTTTTTACGGTCTGAATGAATAAATTCATAATTCTCAATGTTGAATATTGGAGGAGAAGTTGAGTGTAACCAGGTTTCGGTAAGTCCTATCAAACAAAATGAAAATGTGTTTAGGATAGATAAAAATTCTTCAAAATTATCGAAATTCTTTTGTAAGCTTCGAACATTGATGTTTAATAAACTAAAACAGTGAAGGTTATTATTGGGTCTCGTTGAATTAAAATTTGAATTAAATTCACTAGTAGTATAATATTTACTCTGGGGTGTATAAACTTGATCATTCAGAATATCATTTAGAGCCATTAAGATTAAAAATGTGGTATTGCGACCAGTATAAATGAATACTATGTGTTTGGTGCGTGCATGTGCGTGTAAGAGTGCAAGTGCATTTATAATGGGTGTCGGCAAAAACCAACAAAATCAGGGGGGTGTACATGATGTTCACTTGTGCGTGACTATCAGACAGACTCGGGGCCGGTGACAGCGTTCAAAAGTGGTCATTAATTAAAAATAAAAAAACTTAGAAATTTGTAATTTAAGAAAGTTTTATTTTTAATTTTTTTTTTAAATATTGTTATCGTTATTCTGGGGAGGCATAAACGCACAATTTTGTAAACGCGCAGTGTGGGTTTACGCATCCAGCTGCAGAGCCAGAATCATGCCTGGAGGAGCCAGAGAAGTGAGCATAAACAGTACACCGTTGAACTGCGATTACGATGAGCGTTTACGATGAGCGTTTCAAATCGCTCGTTCTGCCTTCGAAATTGATCATAAACGCATTCCGAGAAAGACAATGTGTGCTGTCGAACTTGTCTAGAAAGGCCATCAATCTACAGTGGCCACTTAATTTCTCTGTTTTCATTGAGTGGCCTCTAAATTGACAGGTTGACTGTTTTATTTGTTTACCAAAGTATTGTGACTGATTAATATGGTGAATTATCTCCATAGATTTATATTTTCGGTATTATTGATGTTCTGTGTCTAATTAGAGTGTCTTATTTCATATATCTTTTGTTTTAATTATACTGTAACTTTTTAATTTGTTCAAATGCATGTGTAAATTGTGAATAATGTAGCCTTCGTAGCATTCACAAGTTGTAATACACTATTGATATAATTATCCACGTACAATTTTTATGAACAGACAAATACTCTGACAAGAAAGCAGTACAAATCAAAGAGGCAAACTGGAGAAAGATTGAATGATATCGGACAAAAAAAAAAAAGTTATGGATTTTTGAAAGTTGTAATCTGTATACGTGTGGGCATCGGAAAACTTTCCCATTTGTTTCAACTCAAACATATCTAAAATATATGAGTTGGGCACAAACAGGAGGCGAGAAAAAAAAAAAAAACTAGTGTTTTACGTACACGACAAACGGGAGAGTAGCTTAAGTCACAATTCACTGAGCAAATAGACAATCAAAGATTTGCATTGATTTATTCGTCTCATTTTTCAAACATTTATCCCTTAATATTGGTCAGATTTATTTCAAAACTCCGTCATTCTGTTTCTCTTATTTTTCTGCTCTCATACAAACATATTGCAAGCGTTGGACTGCTCTTTAAGTAGTTTAAAAGCAAATTTTCGATGCAAAAGGCACCTGACGATTAGAATATTAGAAGATTAGAGATTAGAATAGGGAAAGATAATTAACGAGTAAAAAAAGCTTCCCTCAGAATATTGAGTTTTGTTTGGGAATTAAATTTGTTTTATGGACATTTATGATAGTAATCTAATGACCCTTCTTTCTTCTTTTTCCTCTATTTTTCGCTCGTCAGAAAAAGAAATCTGAAGTGTAAAACCCCTTTTCCACATTCCTGGATACATCTCTGACAGCAATCATGAGTGATCAGGACAACGCCCTCTTAAGGCGGTCTAAGGATGCAGCTGGAGCCAAGATAGATGAGTCCGCTGCAGCCTTGCATGAACTTAGCAAGGACATCTGGACTCACCCAGAGTTAAACTTTGAGGAACACCATTGCCATGCTAGCCTGACAGACTTTCTCGAACGGGAAGGCTTTGAGGTATATTCAGCCACGATTCTAGATTGCTATAATAACAATAATATTCTGACTATTTTTGATATGCATATTCTGGAATGACAAACCATTCGAATATAACGAACTTTTTTGAAGAAGCGATCGAACCTTTGGAGAAAAACAGAGACATTCGGGTAAATGAGCCTTGGGAAAAACAAAAAACTTTGGAGATTAATCTTCTTAAAAGTGGCGTAGCTATGACGACCTGAGGAGTAGTAGTCTTTCATCGAAATTTAAAATGGCAAAATGGGGAAAGAAAAGATCCTATAGGAAAGGGAGGAGATCAGAAGGAAAATGTCCCTCCCACTGCCAAGTCCTCCGCCAAATCGCTGGCCTTGTCATTTTCATATTTCATTCATCTAGTAAAGGGCCGTGCCCCCTAAATGGCTGGACACTTGCTACGCCAATTAAATGGAGATTGTCCGTATTTGATAAATAAATCATAATAAATATCATAAGGGACTTTGTTTAAAAAAAAATAATAATACCTGTGATTTTAATCAAAGTATTCCTAAGACCCCAGAGGAACTTTGATATTTTCAAGGTATTTCGTTCTTTTTTAGCTTGTATATTTCAAGATTTGAATGTATTTACACATGACAAATTCAATCAATCAATCAACCAATCAACCATTCAATCAACCAACCAATCAATCATTCAGCCAACCAATCAATCATTCAACTAACCAATCAATCAATCAGTCAATCAAGCAATCAATCAATCATTCAGCCAACCAATCATTCAATCATTCAACCTACCAATTAATCAACCAACCAATCAATCAGTTAGTCGATCAATCAAACAACCGATCAGTCAATCAATCAATTATCAATCAAACATCCGATCGGTCAATCAATCATTTATCAACCAATCAATCAACCAACCAACCAAACAATCAATCGATCAATCAACCAATCAGTAAATCGGTTAATAAATCAAGTAACATTCAATGTTTGTTCGTTGGTTTGCTTTTTAAGGTCACGAGGAACTTCCATCTCGAGACAGCATTTAAGGCTACATATGGGACCGATGGTGGTGTCCATGTTTGTGTTATCTGCGAGTACGATGCTCTTCCTGAGATTGACCACGCCTGTGGACACCCCTTGATCGCTGAGTCTGGAGCAGGCGCAGGGCTAGGGATCAAAGCCGCACTCGAGCTGGCCGGTGCACCAAAAGGAAGGGTATGCTATTTATATGGCTAATCAATCAACCAACCAATCAATCAATCAACCAATCAATCAACCAACCAATCAATCAACCACCAACCAATCAATCAATCAATCAACCAATCAATCAACCAATCAATCAATCAACAAATCAATCAACCACCAATCAATCAATCAATCAATCAATCAACCAACCAATCAATCAACCAACCACCAATCAATCAATCAATCAACCACCAATCAATCAATCAATCAACCAATCAATCAATCAACCAATCAATCAATCAACCGATCAACCAATCAACCATCAATGCTATATTTAGATATCATTTTTTTTAGGGGGAGGGGATTAAAGCACACAACCACTACGGAATTTACACTTGGAGGATTACCTTTTTGAAAACTACAATCATTTGCAGATCCAGCTCCCCCCCCCCCCGAATGCCAAAAATATGACTCAGAACAATAGAAGAATGTTTCCTTTAATTGTGACCCCAGCGGGAACAAAAGTTTCGATCACAGAAGGCATCCAATATAATATGTGATAGTTTTTTCGTTTGTTTTTTTGTTTGTCACAGAATATTTCAGAAGGGAAACAGCACCTTTAAAAAAAAAAGTGTTTCCATTCACTGTATCACTTTTTACTGACCTACCTGACACGCTTTGATTTGACCCACTTTTTTCATATACCTTTTCTACACAGAGGCATTTTCATGAGACAGTTTCTGTGATTGGCTTTTTGCAAGAGAATATTCATGACAATGATGACATTATGCAAATTATTTATTTCATGGTATTATATTATAATTATCTTCTGAACAAGTTTAATTGTCATGTATAATCAATTCAACCATAACACAGGTCACAGTCATGGGTACCCCTGCCGAAGAGGGCGGAGGCGGGAAGATTAAAATGATTGAAGCAGGAGCATTTAAAGGAATAGATGTCGCTCTGATGGTACATCCCTACCCGCGTAATGTATCCCGACCAGTCATTCTGTCTTGTACAACGTAAGTTTTTTTAAAGTTTGTTTAATTTAATTTAATTTGTATTTGTTTATATGGAACACATTCGCAAAGACTTTCGAGAAATTATCGTGAGGGCAATTTAAAATATCGTACTGTATATCCCAGATATCTAGAGAAGCTTGTTTGGGTTACGTAATACGTGATTGTTTTATCCGCAAATTTCAAAAGTTATGATGGAACTGAAATTGCCTTAATATTTCTCGAAAGTCCTTAGGATTGTGTTAATCGCGCTTTTATTAACTAGCTTTAGTAGTAAAGGGATGGTGCGGTACCATGAAAGTAAAACATATTGACGATTTCACGTAGTGCCGTTTAATTTTCATGTATTTCATTTAGATCACATTTAGTTTACCGCACTCCTCAGTTATACCCCTTTTGGGGGGGGGGGGGGGTGAAGTTGTGGGAGGGATATTGGGTGCCCCAGTGCTTCCCCATTGAAAGGTATTATATATCACATGATACGTTAATTTGGACTGAACAATTGCATCGAATTACAGGAGTGTGTCCGAGTGGCTCATTTTTTAATACGTATAAGATTAATGTGCTGTCCGACCAAAATTTGATTGTAATGGGGAAAATGACTTGCCCTCAAACTATGATTGGGGAGGGGATCTAAACGGCAACTTCTAAACCGTCCGATTTCTAGTATACCCTTCCGGACCCTTTATTTTGTGTCTTACAAGTTGATTTAGCCAAATTCAGTCACAGTAAGACAAACATAGTTACGTAGCTTTTGATTTCACCGCCGCCCTTTTTTTTAGAGGACAGACGCTTCGCCACTGTATACCAAATCCACCTTTTTTTAAATCCTAGGATGGATATAACGTTCACTGGTCTGGCATCACACGCATCGTCATGCCCGTGGGAGGGCGTGAATGCTTTAGATGCGGCTGTCATGTGCTATCAAAACATCTCTGTCATGAGACAACAGCTGAAACCAGAGTGGAGGGTCCATGGTAAGCATTAGTTTCGCACGGCGACGCAAGTGCTGACTACGAGATACTTAAATGAGCTCGCCACCCCGTACTAGCTCGACCCCCGACGCTAACTGAATACGGCCGACTACCGTCGTAGGTTTGGACGCTACGCGGAAATTTTCGCTCTGAGTGCGACCCCGCAAAAGATAGCCGGTTGCGAAAACTCGCTATTAAATATTGGGGGGGGGGGGGGGGGTTGGGCAAATCACCAGGGTTGGGGCACTGTTTGTTATGGGTCCCCGCTGTAAAATGTGAAATAATATCAGGTTGAAATATCAATATTGTATACAGCATAGACCAGGCGCGTACGCAGGATTTTTTTCAAGGGGAGGGGGGGGGGGGGGGGGGGGGGGGGGTAGGAGGACCCTTTTTTTCCCTTTTTTTTTGGTCTCGAAATTTGAAACATTGACATTTTGCTCCGTTGGGGGAGGGGTAAGGTCACCTTTTTTAGGTCAGCCATGGGATTAATTTTTTTAATTTTTTTTTTTTAAGGGGGGGGGGGGGTTATACACATAAAAAACCAAAGGGGAGGTTTAACCCCCAAACACCCCCACCCCACCCCTTGCGCACGCGCCTGGCATAGACGTATTAGCACATTTTGAGAGGTGGTTGATCTCTTTTTTCCGAATAAGCTTGTCGACTTTTGAATTTTTGGAATTTGTGGGTGACAAAAAGCAAGCTAGCCCCAAAATAGACGCTTTATTCCTTTGACATTGTAGTTTTGATCTCAATGCGAACAGATCACCTCACTGCCTGAAAACGGGGTAGCGTTTACCCGGATATTGGTAATTTCTAAAATTTCGAGGGGTTGATGCAGCCCCCAGCTTACCCTGCTCCGGGACCTGCGCTTATTATGATAAGAAAACAAATGCAGGTTCAAAATACAAGTGGCTGAATGTGAAATTGGCTTCTTAGAAGACTAGGCGGTACGCTGGCATTATTCTCCATGAAGGATGTTTAATTTGGAGTAAAATTCTATAATCGAAAGATTAACACCGCTAAATTAAAGCTCATCCAACAACACCAATAAGGTATAGGTGATATTGATGTAAGTTAACTGGGAAATTCTTCTTAACTTCTGTGCGGGTACTGTGTATAAATACCCACACCCCCTCTGTTTTTTATTATTATGACTACATAATTGAAAATCTCACTTTAACACATTTCGCAAAAAAGTAGTTATCTTCTTACGATACCATTGCCAACATCATCCCGAAAAGAGTCTGTATTTAACTGTCGTTCATGATAAGTCTATTGAACCTTCAGATTAATTACATCATCACTGGATGGACACACTGGTATTATCAAATACTAATCTTATAATGATTAAAGTGGTTCCTCATTTATATCTCCCTCATTTCAGGTATCATTATGAAGGTTGGCGACATTCTCAGTATCATACCCGAGGAATGTCAGATGAGCTTCTATTTAAGAACGGTAGACAGCGTTGACATGCCCACACTCAAGGAAAAGATCGGCGCGTGCGCAAAGGGAGCAGCAACAGCGACGGGATGCGAGGTAAATCCGAGGAAAGCCAATAATACACGAACTAAAACCGATTTATACCCGAGACACACCGACATACTCTAGCTCTTGTCACTGTGAAATGGTAGCAGATGATGTGTCCTTAAAGAGGAAGATTTAAAGTGTATTAAGCATATCCAAAGCCGAAATGACACCCCCTCTCTCCCCTCTTAAGAAAAAAGTAAGGATGATAAGGGAAACAACCCTTTTTTTAAGTATTGAAGAAAATAATCATTTTAACAGTATCACATTTCAGTATTGCTTCAAAATTATTGCCCAATTCCGCAACGCTATATCGAGATTTCTGTAGCTTTAAGCCATCAATAACAAAAATAGAAGTGAGAAAGAGAGAAAATGGAAAGATAAGAGATGTAGGGATAGAAGTAAAGTGTGATTTAACTTTAGTATCACCAGCAGGCGCGTACGCAGGGGGGGGGGGTTAACCCCCTTGAGTTTTGTTTATGTGTATTTTTTGTGTATGTTTTTTGTGAAACCCCCCCCCCTTTTTTATATTTTTTTAAAGAGAAAATTATGCCAATGGCTGACCTAAAATGGTGACCTTACCCCCCCCCCCAACGGAACCAAATGTCAAATTTTCAAATTTCGAGACCCCCCCCCCTCCCCCACTGAGCGACTTTTCGGCCGGCGCGATTTTCAAATTTTCGGGAGGAAAATAATAAAGCTGAGTCGTTGCGAAATTTCGGGCCCGATTTTACCCCCCCCCCCCTCCCCCTGAAAAAATCCGGCGTACGCCACTGATCAGCAGGGATGGGGTAAACCTTTATTACGACACCCCTTAAAGTAAAAAAAAATGTCTAGTGATGCCCTGGTGTAAATTATCAGTGCAGAGATATAGCATTTACCACCAAAAAGTGATGTTTATTGCATTGTGTGTGCACAGGTAAAGTACTCTTTTGGAAGCGACTACGCCAATTTGGTCCCCAACGATACATTGGCGTCAGTGTACGAGCGTCAGCTTACGGATCTCTCCATCGACTACTCAACCAGTGAAGTGACGTTCTCTACCGATATGGGGGATGTGTCGTACGTGGTTCCAAGCATCCATCCCTTGTTTTACATAGGCACTGAAGCTGCTAATCACTCAAGGGAATTTAATACTGCAACAGGTAATATTCCCCCAAAATCGCCAAATAAAAGAAAAAAAACATGTTTAGAGTCCTGTCTTTTTGAAAAATAGGAAGGAGGAGGCCCCCCTTTTTTTCCAAAATGGCCGCTCAACATGGCCGCTCGGTACTTTTTCCCTGACAGTCTACTTTTCAAGATGGCTGCCGGCATTTAAAAAAAAAAATCAGAAATAGATCCATTTTAGCAGTGTTTTTCATGTTATTTTTTCTTTAAAAAAAAACACTGAGGAGGCCCCAAAAAGGAAGCGGGCGGGGACGCTCAACATGTATATTTTGTTAAATGGCCCTAATTAATTGAATATAAAAACATGAACTTAGATTATTGGTAGTGCATGTTGCCCATAAGAGGCATCAAATCATGGTAAAACTACTACTTGTAGACGCCTCGAGCATCCCCTGGGATGGATGCGTACACAATATGAATGTAGCTAATATTTTTATGTATTAGTAGTATTAATCTGTATTATTATTATTGTTGTTATTATTATTTTCATAATTTAATATTATCATCATGATTACTTTGATTGTTGTTATTACATGTATTACTATCATTATCATCATCATTATTATCATTTATGTTATCATCATTGTTATTATCATCATCATTATTTTTTATTATTATTAATAGCATTATCGTCTTGTCTTTCAGGTGCTGACGAAGCTCAGAAGCCAACGCTAGCTCAGGCTAAGGCCATGGCTTTCACGGGTCTCGAACTGATGCAGCCTGGTAACAGCCATCTCTTAGACAAAATCAAGAAGGAATTTAACGACAAAGTAGCCCCTAAATAATGATCGATGCAAGAAGATCAGAACCGGTGTACGATTCAATTCATCAGTAAAAAAAATTGAGGACTTTACTCAGTTTTCGGCATAAGTAGAATACTTAGCTGGGATAAATGCTAAGTAAAACATTGTCACAATTCAAGACAGTGTTGAATTGAATACGGGCCCTGACCAGTGAAATCAGGGACGGGTTCAGGGAAGGTGGTAATTAAAGGGGCAAGTGCCCTCTTTATTTGGAGGGTAGCGCCCATAGCAAGGTTTTCATATTATCTTGACAACAACAACAAGTTGATGTTAATGATAATAATAATGAGGGACAAGAGTGGTCAGAATCTTATATAATTGGAAGAGATTCTAAACGGGAAGGGTAAAGAGAGAGCTAGAGCTCGTCTAATATAGAAAGAAGAAAAAACGAATAGGAGAGAAGAGAAAAGTAAGAAAGATTTATTCCAAAACAAGGGAAGAAAGAAAAGGGAACTGAGAACAGCTAGAGAAGAAGAGAGAGATCGACTAAGGAATAAGATAGGAGGGAGAAAACAGGGGAATGCAATGAAAACATAACATGAGGTAGAGAAAGAGACTGTAAATATTTCTTTATTTGAATGCTAAGCACGCATTAAAGGGTAAGGCATCAAACAGTGGCTGTTTATATTCTGGCAAGCAAAACTTTTGAGATAAGCCTGATAGTGTGTTGTCTCCACGTTCATCCCCATATACTCAATTCTGCTCTACCGGAAAGCACTGAATTAATTCTCTATATAGTGAGCAACTAAAATCCCCTAGTTTGGTGCAACCAAGCTAGCAAGGTTCTTAGTATTAAAGTTTTTGTGAATACCAATTCAGTTGGCAAATTAATAGTTGGCAACTCGACATAAACAAATATAAAAAACTGTCCAGGGCACACGAATAATTATGTAAATTAACCAATTTTATACCAATGTACTTAATTTCCATTTATTTCATCCACGTCTATGCCACAAGAAGGCACACAAGGGCTAGTTCCAAACTAGTTGAGGTAGTTAGCTACTTCATAGTTAATAATTAGAGATTTTAGTTGGCCACTAGAGTCAGTTATCAACTAGCTTAATAAGTGTTATGAATATGGCCTCAGCGTTCTACGTCTGTTTCTATCTTTCTTTAATAGCAACTCGCTCTCTCCTTTTCTTTGTTTTTTATCCATAATCTCGGTTTCTACTCATACTATATTTGTCATCATTTTGTATTATGATAATCATATATTTGAAATACATGTGTTTCATTTTAGTTTACATAATGTATGAGAAGTTTTGACCGAATGAAAAAAAAAAAAAAAGGTGCTCTCTCACTTGTTATGTTATTTTAAACTGAGGGCTGCCAGCACATCAAGGTTCATGCTTACGTTGCATGTATGTAGCCCTCTTGTACCATGTTTATGTATAATCTTGTTATGTTTTTAAAAAACATTTTCTATATATTATGATATCATGTACTGTATTAGGAATAATAATGATAATCTAGTAATGATAATGTATCAAATACAAATGACACATAAATACACATGAATATGTATGTTTGAAGAAAAAAATGCTAATGTCATTTTGTATATAGAAATTTATTACTTCAGTATTTTGTTGACTATGGAAAATGAAATGGGAGAAAATAAACGTTGCTTTGAATTGAATTGAAATAGATCTTTAGAGTTAGATCCTTCTTGATTATGTGCTGTCAATTTGTTTGTGTGTTTTCATTCCATGTAGGAGATATTGCCTGAGGCACTTCGATCAAAATTAATCCCCACATCGGATTAACAATGGACAGTGATAGGAGGAGGATGATGATAACCCATAACTTTTAAAAAGTTTGTGCAAGGTACTTATTTTCAATCAAAATAATTTTCCAGAGTTGGAAAAATACGACAGAACATAATGCATGGGGTCCGCTCGCTATTCATAAGGACAACAATTCGTAAGGACCGCTATTCATAATTTGAGAAAAGGCTCATTATTCATAAGGACCGCTATTTATAATCGAAGAAGAGGGTCGCTATTTAGAACAAGAAAGCAAAGAAACACGTGCAATACCAACAACTTACTTCTAAAAATATAAACATTGCCAAGCTTTCACATAACCAAATAAACATAATGTCACGCGCCCCCACGCGGACCAAAATAAACACATCTTCCGGGGCAATGTGGCAAGAAAAATCGGCTCTAACATAACAACAGGCATAAGATGGCAGCCAAATCAGGTTTCAACTTAAAGCTTAGACATTAGAAAGACATTTGGAAAGACTTTTATCTAATTTTCCACTCTCCACCCATGTGTTAAATGGGTACCTGGTAGGATGCGAAAGTTAATGAGAGCGTCTGTAAAATGACAGTGGAGTGGAGAATGTGCATATTGTGTGCAGGAATGCCATGTAATAATATATCCGTAAAGCGCTAAGAAACATTGTTGATGTATTAAGCGCTATATAAAAGCGGAATATTATTATTATTGGTACATACTTTCAATAAATATTTGGGACAAAGATTTTTAAAACAGGATAAAATTGAACTTAATTTAATAGCAGTGGGTATTTGGTTCCCTTTCTTCAAGCCAGCATCAATTTATTGAATTAAGTGAAGAAGTACAAAATAAGTCTCACTTTGGGTTGATGAAAATGGTCTTTTCGACGAGTGGTATATGAATGGATATTTCAATTTTGAATAAACATATTACTGTACTTCACATGAAAAATGTTATGTCTGCAGAGTACATACAAATTATAGTATTGATTGTAATCAAATGGTATAAAGGCAAGATTTGCATCTGTTTAAAGAGTCGTATACTTGGACATTGCATTTGTGACTTTGTCATATTTTTTAGAGACCTTTTCCGTAAAATATATAATTTTTCAAATGTGATTTACAGTATTTCCCCAAATAAAGTTGCAGTAGTTTAGATGCGGTAACAGAGGCTATTAGACAGAATATATAAAACATTACTAGGCAATAGCCTATACATTTTTATTTAGAAAAGATACCAACAAGAACCCACTATTATTATTATTATTATTATTATTATTTAGCAGGTGTCTTAGACATTAAATTTTGTAATATTTTCAAATTAGATATAAAAAAATTATTAATAACAACAGGTAATAAATTATAGGCACTTTCCTGTTCCTTGACCTAAATATGACATAATTTGTTTTCGTAACATTCCGAGAAAATTTATTTACATTAAACCATAAAGAAAGCTTAGGAACTCCCCTGTTTACTGATGAAACAAGCATTTGTATGTTACTGTTACTCGTAATAGCACATGTATCATCAGCAAACAGGGACAACTTAAAAAATGAAGATGACATAACCCACATAAGTCTATATTTGCAAAGAACGAATGAAACCTCTCAATGTCAAATATAATTTGTCTGGCTGCGGGTTTATACTTATATATTAGCAATTATGGAGGTTTAATTTTCCACCGTCCAATAACAATATCAGCGTGTTTTGCAATGAATGACAAAGTGTTGATATGATCGCTACGATGTTGTATGGTTTCTGCATTATCATGACTATGCACAGCTTTGTTTTCTTGGCACAATAATTATGTTTACTTTCTGGACGTCAAGTTAAATTATTAAAGTTTTTGGAAAATTATTCGCTTTAGGATTCATTTCGTTTTCTTGTTCGCCTGCGACTTATTCAATTATTATATAAGCTAAATTGAGGTCAATAAAGGCTAAAAGTGATTTCAAATTGCGTAGAATAGTATCAGCAACACAATACAAGTGAACAAAATTGAATTAATACATTCAGTACGGACGGCACGCGCAAAAAAAACGGGCGCGGATGCGTTCGCGCGCGCAAAATCTTGAAATGTTTACAAAGGTCTGAAACGTGTAGTGAATTGGTCCAAAAAGCACTTTGGCCAAATTTAAATTCCATACACGTACGCGTTCGTCGTGACGCGCGCACGGACATGATGTTACCAAAGATTACCCATGCCGTCAGGTATATGCATATCGAATATCATTCAGAAATGACAATGTATGCATGAAATATGGCCAATATTAGAATAACAAAATGGCGCCTAGATGACGTCACGCATCAGTAATTGAAAACAAAATATCTTCGTTAGGATCAATAATCATGCATATGCCACATGCCATGAAAGTTTCATGGTCATGAGATATCTACGTAACAAAAATTCAAATAGAAGAATAGAAAAAAAGAAAGAAAAATTCTAACGAAATCAATAGGAGTGTCTGCCACGCTTCGCAGTAGATCACCCAATAACAAAAGTACAGTAATAATACTGTGCCTATAACAATAATAATGATAATAATAATAATCAATGACAATAACATTAATAATTAGAATGGTAATAACATGCAATTCTTTTTTTTAAGTCAAGTAAAAGTCTTCGGTGTGGCTGGTGTATCATGATTACTCACTGATTAGTGGCATGCTGTCCAAAGTCCGCGGTATCGTTTCGGCGACGAGGAGCAGAAACACCGTCATCGAGAGCGTCAACGTGACGCTGAGACTGGCCTTGATGACGCCGACGTTGTAGGGCATGAGGAACCCGACCATTGAGAGTGCGAAAAGAAGGACGATGGGCATGACGAGCTTATTACTAATAGTAAAAGGATTTCGGAAGTAGTTTCAGATACATGGTTATGTCAACGTAACGGTCGGGACAGCACTCATACCACTCGACGTTACGCTTGAAATAGGCATCTCTGAAGAATAGAGAAAAAGAAAGATAGATAGAGGGGGCGAGGGATGGATTGCGGTTCGAGGAGATGGAGAGGAAAGAAGATATCAAAAATGGGACAAAAGGGAATCGTGCCAGATGTGGGATAAATAAACAGAGGGGGTGGGAGCGGGGGTCATGGAGGCTGTTCACACCGGCAGAGATAGCGCGGTCTAGCGAGTGCTAGACCGCGCTATCTCTGCGGTGTGCAAGGTCCAACGTCGTTTTGGTCCGCCCAACAGCGAGCCACGGCGAGCCAAAACGGCGTGCCACTGGAGCACCTCTTGGGGGTGGTCCACGAGAGATAGCGCGGTCTACCGCGCGATAGACCGCGCTATCTCTGCCGGTGTGAACCCGAGCTACGATAGCACGCCGGAAGTCATCGTTCTACACGCGGGGAATTTTATACTCATTCTATTTTGGTGCGATCTGAATCTGAATCGGTACAATTCAACACTCCTAATTCGTAATAGCGCCCGAAATCTTTGACCGCTCTGACCTCATGACGTCACGCGTCATGACAACAGGACCTCTCAAAAAAGGGGGTGCTACGATAGACCGCGCTATCTCACTGCGGTGTGGATCCGGCGAATGCCAATGGGCGGACCGTGGGTCGGGCTACGATAGCGCGATCAACGGTCCGCTCACGTTCCCCCCCCCCCTTGCGGTGTGAACAAGCCCCTTGATTGGTTTATATCTCGCCCGGTATATCACGCTTTGGAATAAATAAGGAGATCGAATTATACTAAAATTCACAAGAGAGGGCAGTGTTCGTCCTCTTCTTCTGCGAGTATTGGGTCACAAGTGATTTGGTTCTCTCTCTCTCTCTCTTTCTCGATCCCCATTTTTCTTTCCTTCTCTCTCTATCTCTCTTTCCCTCTTTTATTTCTTTTTAACCCTTCCCTCTCTCCTTATCTCTCGCTTAGTAAGTGGAGAATATTTTTTGCTTTTTGTTTTCGTACTAGCAAATTAAAAAATACCCCTTTCCGAAATTCACTAATTTGATCTGGATTGCTTCATGAAAAATTAAAATGTACAGGAAACGAAATCTCGGGCAGAGAAGATACAAAATGCAGAAATAATCAATAACGAAATGAATTCAAAACAGACTGTAGGTTTCGTCTTTTTTTTCTTTCTTTTGGTTTTTGCGGCTGCACTTCTCTCTGTCCCACATAATTCTGTTCAATTGTTGATGTTTTGTCTTGCTTATCATTTTGCTTTAAAAAAATACATTCTGTTTTGAGCTGCTATTCCATATTAATAATTTATGTAATTGGTAAGTTCAATCCATCTTAATGCTGATATCGTTAACACATCGACACCGAAAACCAATCTAGCGTTTAGCAACGGTGAAATCGGCCATGTCCTGTTGCTTGGCAACGAAATTGTTTGAACGCTAATTGCAAACATTGAAATCCCTTGTGTATTCCAATGTAGGATGCTGTAGTTAAAAGCTGTACTAAATGCAATTTAACTTTCATTCAGTTCACCCATAGCGCCCTCATTTAAGGTCGGAGGTATAAAAATATATACATTTTTGGAATCCTCATGACCAGACGAGTAATTTGATATGC